CGACAAAGGATCTAGAAACATTCTGAGTATGCAGTTTTGTAGCCCATTCAATTCAAAGTGCAAGTTTTAAGTAGCTAAGATTGTTGATAAGATAAGTTGATTTTTAGTATGTAATTTTTTTTCAAAAAATTTTTGGAATTAATTTGGATGGAAGAAAATGCGCAAACAAAAAATTGCAAAAAACCAGCGGTAAGTCCAAGGTACTTCAAGCTTGCACTTTATTGTACAAAAATTTAATGGGCAACTGCATTGTTTTGAACAATTCCAGAAAATCTACTAATGTTCTACAAAGCTTGAAAATTTTGATTTAGGCACATGTTTTTTTTTTTAACTAATAAGTTATATTATCATAAAAAAATAATAAACGTGTTTTAAACAAACGAAAGTAGCCAAAACTTGTCAAAATGTATTTTCCATAACATTTTTCAAGTTTTATTATCTTTGTTTTGTTTTAAATAAAACTGTATCAAAACATACATTTTGTTTTGTTCCGATTAGATTGTTTAGTAATGTCCGGCTTTTTGGCCACAGAAATCTGGTCACCGTAAATATATATACAATCTTTCTGTTATCTTTTGAACCTGATTCGTAGCTTAAACGTGCTAACCGATTGCTTATTAACTCGGCCGGTTGCTAACTATTCTGTTTTTTTTTTTTTCTTATATAAAGACATGGATTGTATGCTTAATACATATGTACACAAACATGCCTTTTTGTTGATTATCTACGTACACCGATATCTCTTCTTTTTTTCTCTCTGAGCACTCAGCTAAGTGCATATGTAGATATTTATATGTATATTATACTTTTACTTGCAAATGTATGTATGTATGTCTGTATGTACTTTAAAGTACTTGCACATACGACATATGTATGTATTTATTACTGTTGCTGTTGTGTCTGGTAGTTAGTGGCGGTCTCCCAAGCATTGCATTTGTTAGCTTATAACGCGTATAAACGCCGCTTGCGGTAAAACTCACAAAAATGTGGGTCAACATGGAGTGATGATGTCTATCAAAATTTCGTTCCAATGCTTAAACATATACAAAAGATTCATAACTCCAAAATGCAAAGTTATCAGAAGAATCAAATGTTGCAAATGCTTTGGTATATGTAGTTATATTTGCTAGAAAAATTGCCCACACACAAACTAGAAATAGTAGTCAAATATTGATAACAAAATTCTCGGACATACATACTTACATATTAAATAAAAGCTTGTAAAATGACATATGGTTACTAAGGCCCATATTCAGATGTGCTATTTAAGTAGATTGTTGATTAACTTCAATAATTCATTTTCCGATTACAAACATATTTAATCTGCACTTAAATGGCCTATTGGCTGTTTAAATATGAAATATGCAATTTTGTGTTTGTACCAAACAACAATCAGCTATTCGGCGCAAAATATGTAAGTCTGTTCCAGGTACTTCACGATTTGCAGATTTCTATAGCAAGCCAAAAGGTTTATTAATGGCGAAATCTGGAACAGTCTTAATGTAAACAAACAAATGAATGCAGCAACAATTTCAAGGAACAAGCAACAGTGTTGCCACTTGTTTGGCAAAAAAAAGTTGATCTGAAACCCAAGGAAAACTGTCACAATTTTGATATACAAATTGGTATTCCAATTATTCTGTCACTCCTAAAAACTCATTTAATCGAAAAATAACCGAATATACCTAAAATTAGCTTTAACGCCATTAATTAGAAAAGTACTCAGAAATGTATTTATGAATAAGTTACTAGTAAAAATAAAAACTTTTAAAACAAGCTTTCTAAATATGAAACAAATCGGCACATAAATGTGGGTTTTCAAAATATCTCAACTCCTGTGAAGTTATTTCTCTCGATGTAAGTAATATAAAAGTAATAACAACTCTCAAGTAATATAAATATGAGCGAAATTGAACCATAGATACGCGTTTTCCACAAGAACGATAGAATACAAGATTGCGCATACCCGACGGCGATAACATTTGTGGGTAAAAAGTATTGAAGCCGAATGGGAGGATAAAAGAGAATTTGAGATTAGTCAATTATCTTAATATTCCATTTTTCGATAGGAAACGCACTTTAATTGCTTTAAATTGTGAAAATATATGATTTGTAATAAAAATTAATAAAGGAAATGTGAAAAAATGGCGATTTTAGTGAAAGTATAGTGAATTTCAGCGCATTTAAAACTTTTGAGGCGTTGTTTACGAACTGTAAAAATCGGCAAAACCAAAGTAGCGGTTTGCGGAATGCGTCACCTTCTGTTCGCTACATCGTGGGTTTTCCAAATACATATCTCGACTCCTGTGACACCTAGCAGATTAATTTATCTCTCATGTTGCATTGTCACATGTTGTGATGTTCTAAGCTAGGTTTGAAATTTCAATTCTTTAGCTCATCGGGAAGTTGGTGAAAAATTTATTGTAAGATTTGTCCCAAACAAACATACATACATCTTCTCCGCCAAATCTTCATTTGAGTACTTTGAATCGCTGCCGAGTACTTGGGTACTGAGTACTTTTGGTATCCATTCGGAGTTCACAAAGTTCTGTGTATCGATAGTAGAGATGGGCGCGTCCGCTATTTTGGCTCACGTTCACGCACGCTCACGTTTTCTAATATTTTTTCAATCACGTTCACGCACGCTTACGAAACCTCGTTTTTTAATCAGAACGCCTTTACACGGATTTTTTTTTAGATTTTTTTACAAATAAAATGCATTTCATATAAATATGTTTTTATCATATAAATATTGTGAAAAACGCTTCGCCAAAAATCAATCAATAGTATTGCAATATTGGCTTTTTGCATACTTTAGACAGCTATCAAGACAAATAATGTAGTAACAATCAGAAGTCAAAATCTAATTACTTTTGTGCAATTGAAAATTTGATTTAGCGTTAGACATAAAGTGTTAAGTTTAAACTTTTTAAGTTTTTAATTACCCAACTCGTTTTGTTCTTAAATCGAATACCAGCCTACAGAATAAAAACTTGAGAAGTTAAACTTGCTACTCTTATTCAGCATAAACCAAATACAACACAGCCAATGGGTAACGCTTTTATCACCCTGGAATTTATGTATGTATGTATACATATGTATTCACTTAAAACTAAGACAATCTCTCTCACAAACGACCATATTTATATGGACATACATACATAGTATGTAGTTTATATACCAGTAACCCAGTCGGACCGCGCAGAATGTGGTTTCGAAACGAATGCTTTTTAGGTACTTATTTCTTCATGAGAAATTTGAAGTACATTTAATTTCTGCATGAAAACTTAGTAAATATCTGCGTGGAAAAGTAATCGCATACTTTTTTCGTCCTAATGAAAGGCTAAAGATGTGTAGGTCGTGCTAAAATCACTGCTAAAATCAGCATTTTGTAATGCTTTGACCTCGACAAATACATAAGTCCGAACAAAAATAAAAAAAAACGCTACAAAGCTCTCTAAACCAATAACAACTACCTCATGCAAAATTATCTTCTTACTGGTCTATTCTGTGCTGGTAACAAAACTTCTGTAACCGGTATATAAAGTTTCTGTCAATTTTCAAACCCTTTTCGCATTCTGTGCACTCTTGTAAATTGTGTTACTATCTCATAAGCTGGTAACAAAATATTGCACCGTGAAATATGCATTGCCAGAATTTCCAGAAATCCTCATAGTTAAATTGCTGAATATTTTAATTGCATTACCAACTTACTTAGAATTGCGGTGACAAGAAGTGGTAACATTTTTTGGTAATACAATTTTCCGGTTACAAAATCAACGTTAACGTGCAGAATAGAACTGTTAAAGAACCGTTCTTGCTGTGTTTCATGCCTGTATAGAAGCGAATTAAAGACTTCATGTTTTTGGAATTACTTCTGAATGGAAATAGAAACGTGCTATAAGTACATTTTGGAAGCAACCTTGTCTTGACTGGGACGTAACCTCTACTCAGGTGTGCATACATATGTATGTATGTAAGCATGGAGGATAAAAGAGGCACACTTTTATGTACAATTATAATAAATACCGGTAGGTAAAAGGTAACGGGACTCAAAATAACTCAACCGGAATCCAAAGACAACAAAAATGCGTAAAAAGTGCAAAATCAAAGTAGTGAAAAGCAAAGTATGGCAAAAGCAAAGCGAAATCGCATTAAGTCAAGAAAAATGAGCCGCGAAGTAAGCAATACTGAAGAGTAACCAAGAGAAATGTACATACTTGTTGGCATAACTGGAATAGCCAACAACAGTAAGCATGACTTCACAACAACAAAAAAAAAACACACGCGAAAAGACATGGCTAATAAAGTAACAGACAGAAGAATTGGGCTTAAAACTGAGCACACACGAATACACGAAAATTGTGCAATAAAAAGATGACGTGTATAAATATGTAAGAAAAAGTCAAAAAGTTACAAAAGCAAGTATATACATATGAAGTATGTATGTGCAGTGCTGAATTGAAATGAATTTCACAATCGGCAACATTTTACCCTCAGAGTTTCGTACCAGTAATTGTGTTCGTTATAGGAAAATTACAGAAAGGAAAGCTTTAAAAGTGTGCACTTTTTAAGTTCAAAAATATGAAGCGATTGCCGCATAAAATGCGTGAGTATGAATGTAAATACATATGTAGATACATACATATGTATATGTATACATATTTATTTCGAGTTGTTCTTTATCCAGTACGATGAAAACGGTACTATTTTTGAACCAAATCATAAACTTCGGCCAACTTTTACGACTTACAACAAAACGTTTTGACCCTGCACAACATTATCCGTAAACAAGTCTTCTTGCAATTGTTGGAAACAATGCTCCAAATTGTGGTCTTCAAAAAAAAAACAAAATAAAAAAATATGTACTTGATGTATGTGAAGAAATTTCCATAAAGTTTTGTATACAATCTGAGTCTCTTTTTAATGGAAAGCTAACTGCTTTTCGTTTTTGACCATCCGTTAAAATTTATGTAGCTTATGACTACATATATATTTATTTAGGTATCGTACAATACACTCACTTGTCGTTCGGTTGTGGTATGTTCGGCTGTCTTTTTCTTCTGCACCACAGTATCCTTCTTTAACACCTTCATGGCGTACAATGTCATATCATCATCGCCGCCAATTTTACGCACCAAAAACACCTTTCCATAGGCTGAAAGAGAAAATATAAAATTTCCATTAGTGAGACATACAATATGCAAACATTCATAGTGCATACATACATACATAGTTGCATAACATATGTACATGCATGCCTTATGTGCAATGCTGTAAATATGCAAGTGTATGTATTTATGCAAGTGTATCTATTATGCAATTTACAATAACACCGGAAATGTGGGCAGTTACCACTTACCACTTACACATGTGTGCAACTAAGTAGAAACAGAGTTTTTAACGGATATAAAGATTAAAAGAGCAGTGAAATTTGAATGCTTCAAATGTTTGAGGTAATTTTAGCTCTCATTTCGATACTGAATGACTTTCATTTTATTTTTTAAATAATTCTAAATTGATATATGTATGACTTATGCTGAATTTTCACTAAGCCTTAAATGACAACATTTTTAATGACATTGTTGGGCATTAAAAAATACCCATGCCATTACGTTCATAAAAATAGTCATTATGTCTGTTTCCACATGGCATTTTTTAAATGGCTTAAATTTTTTGTCATTATAATGCCAAGTGACAGGATTTAGTCCGGAGTTTTTCCTGTAAGTTCATGAAAAGTGTCAAACGCTGGGCAGGGTTGCATTTGTAAACAAAAACAGAACGCGGTGAAAGCAAAGAACCTTATATGCTCCTGCATCTGTTCTCATTTTACTCTCACTTGAGAGAGTAAAATTGTAGTTTGACAGTTCCACAGCCCGAAGGTCAAAGGCGCAGACTAAATATGAACGTGTTCAGTATTTTTGTCAAGATAATTTATCCGCTAAAAAGAATTAAACCAAAATTCCGCTATAAAATTAATTATATAGCACCAGGAAGCCACTAAAGTTAACAAATCTAATAATAAGAATTTTAATCAGAGCATAGCCATGTGTGGGCTCGTCACGGAAAAACTGTCAAAAATACATTTTTTGAAATCAAATGTTGGTTGACAGCGAGTTTTTTGCAATACCGGCAACTGTTTTTTAATTACATATTTTATTTTTCGCTAATAATTTCTAATAACACTCTTTAGAAAAAAAATTTATTATGTAGTTTTTTAGCCAATTCAAATTTAATATAATAAAAGGTGCAAGTCAGAGGTAGCTAGGACTTACCAATGATTTTTGCACATTTTTTTGTTGAAGGTGTCGTTAATTTTCTTCATATAAAAAAATGTTCGGTTTTTTTATGACCGATGCTTTTTTTACAAACCGTTACCTTAATTCACAAACTTTTTCGAAACTGCCTTTATCAGTGATTTTAGTAGAATGTATTAAAATACACCTTCTATAAAAATTTTGTTTTTTGCTTCTCCTGTAAAATAAAAAAATTTTTGGTTAGGGCCAGGGTTGTTACGAATGTCATATTTTTCACATTCGCGAATGCAAAAACCACCAGAATCAACTGAAAATTTTGATGACAATTTTTTGGTATTTCTTAAATTTTCCCCCCGAGTTCGATTTGAAATTGAAAAAATTGATTCTGCTGGTTTTTGCTGTTGAACTAATTATATTTTAACAAAAAAAAATATATGAAAAATTTGTATGTGCATAACGCTGTTATTGTGCGCTTAGTGGTCGATAACTGCGTGCTCTGCCCATGTACACATTCGCATTCGCAAAATATTCGTATCATTTGATGCGAATGCGGTTTTTACCGTGCAATCCGTGCAATATTTCTAGGATGTGCTATTGTAAAATGCACAGTCAAATACATACATATGTATGTATGTGATAGTTATCAATACGAACTCTACTAAATACTTACCCCCTGTTCCAAGAACACGTATCAGCTTGAAATGTGATAAATTTACTTTCTCGTCTTCCGTTGCATTGCCTATAAAAACACAGGAGAAGAAGAAGAATATAATTTAATAAAGGACTTTACAAACAAACACATCATAAAAGTAGCTTATGAAAAGGGGGACACATTCAACTACAATAACCTACCATTATAAACTAAGTGCGCAAATAATTGAATTAAAGTGCGTTACATTTACATACGAATGATGTGATAACTAAACTTGACAATGCTAAGTAATGAGTACCTCTATGCTATGAAAAGTGGCGCTTACATATATATACGAGTACATGTTCCATATACAGTCGGTGTCAAATGTAAGTGGTACCCCTTGTTGTAATATAAAATTCACAATTATTTTCATGAACAATTTTTTTCATTAATTATTTATGAAAATATAGTTGATGCTATAACATAAACCATAAAAATAAAAGTTTCACACTTTATATAAAGTTAACAAAAATTCAAACGATTTAAATAAAAATTTCAAAACTTTTATTCAGAGTTTCTAGAACATTTTCGAGTAAGCAGTTTTGTAACCCGTTCAATTGTAGTAAAACAAAGTGCAAGTTTCAAGTCGCTAGAAATTACCGTTGAATTTTTAGAATTTTTTTTGTGGAGGGTGTTGGGCATTTTCCTCCATATAAAAATTGATTTTGATCACAAAATACATTTTTCGGAAATATAATAAAATTTACGTGATCTGGACCGATTTGAAAATACATACCTCCAAAAATGGAGTTTTTTTATGAATAAAAATAGATTCTTAAAGTACTTTTTGAAAAAAATAGCCAGCCTGATGAGGGTGGCTTTTTTTTGGTAGGTTTGAAAAAAGTGTATCTATTGTGATTCCGTTGAATTTTTTTTAATGCAATTGTTTTAAATGTTAAATGGTTTTAAATGTTAACTATTTTAAAAAATTAACTCCTTAGGTCGTTATAATATTAGCTTGGAAACCCTGAATAAGGCAAATCAGCAAAAGCTTAAACTTCTCGGCCCTGCTTATAAGGTACCATCTGTTCTGATAATTCAATCTTAGCCTCGCGAAAACTGTAAGTACCCCCACCAAATACGGAAGATATAGCTATGCAGGCATAATTCGCTTCACTGACCGCCCCGCCACCGTTGGCCAAACGGACCTTGTAATTGCACACGAGCTCCATCTGTTTAAGAAAGAACCATAGGTGGTAGTGGTCAGTGGTGCTCCCACCCGTACCTTGCCAGGTGATACCGTTTCAATGGTACCCTTTCTCGCCAACTCGTCAGCCATGTATAGTTTCCCGCAATGCCACTACGGCCTAGTACCCATATAAGTCTAATCAGAAAATATTTCGACGGAGTTGAGAGGACGTTACTCCTTGCCTTTTTCCTCAATGGCAGCAGACTCAAATACTTGACTCAGTCGGAAAGCTGCAGTACACGCCTATCAATGGAAGAGTTTTGTCTCTTTTATCGATTTTAAATTTTGTAATATGCAATTACATTTTCTTAGAGAAGCAGATCTTCGATATATATATAGCAGGTGGTATCACTCAATGCAAACGTGAATGCACAGATAAAAATAAATGAATCAGAGCAGACAAAGCTGCTATAAAAAGACTGGTAAGGTTCTATTTCGCGTGTGGGTTGAAATAAAAATACAGCATACAAGCCCACTTGAGCCTACAGTATAACGAATCCTGTAGGCGAACATACCGATAAACAAACGAATATGCGAGCTGACAAGCAGACCAACTAAATCCATACAAATGTACATACTTATGGACTTTTATTTATTGCCGTCTGCAGTTATAGCTAAGCTTAAATCAAGGCAAATCATTCAAACCATCCATCAGACCAGTGGGCGACTGTATGCAGGAGTTGGTTACATGAATCACACACATACATACACATTGCTCTCTAATAGTGGTGTTATTGTTGTAATACTATTGGGGGTTTCTGTTCTTCAATTGGCATACATATTAGCAGTGCGTGACAGATTGTCAAGGACACTGTCTGCAAGTGACATTCAACTTGAGAGTATATGTATGAATGTATGTATGCTTACAATTTTAATGCGGCGTAGGCAAACGATTTTCACCAAAGAATGAAAGCAGTTTGATGAAAAAATTTATTTAAAAAAAGCAATCGATAAAAAGCATCGTTACTTACATACCTACAATTTGCACGAAGTCTGACGATAGTAAAAGGAGCATAAGGGGCCAACTGAGGAGCAATGAAAAAACACAAAATTTGTTTATTTTCACTTTTCCACAACTTAGCAAATTTTCGCAGCCAAAGTATCGTAGCAATCGTTAAAACAACAAAAAGTGTAGAGAGTGAGAGTAAAAGCGTGCGAAAGTCATACATACATACCAGGGATGTTGCGAATAATCGCATTCGCATTCGTTATGCGAATGATTCACATCATTTTACACATTTGCATTCGCATCAAATGATACGAATGTTTTGCGAATGCGAATGTGTAAATGGGCAGAGAGTCCACTCTAATATTGTTGAAATGGCTCTAAGAGCCGGTTGTTCAATGTCTGGTTATCACTACCTCCCAGTTAAACATCATTATCGACAATTTCGACATCATGCATATAACATGTGATCGATAAAGTAGTGGTTGTATTTAACCGGAGCTTCTAACTCCGTTTGGTGTTAACCAGACATTGAACAACCTAAGGCCTAAGTCTATCTAACCAGGGTGCGGACAATAACCAGCTTTTAGCTTCAGGCTACATTGATGGGCCTACAACAAGTACCGATAAAAGTCTTATAAGCAACCTAGAAATAATTTTAGATTCCTCCAGCGAAAGCGAAGGCTCGGATGTATAATGTGAAGACATTAAAAAATGTGAAATGAAAGCTCAATTGAAGGTTTATCTTAAAGAAGAAAAATGAGCTCTATGTCTCTCTCGATGAAAATCCTCTTGATTGGTGGAAAACTAAGCTAACATACGACCAATTGACAGATCTGGCCCGTAAATATTTGAGCGCTTCCACCCGCCAGCGTTTCCAAGTGCAGGACTGCCTACTTCGCTCAAACCGTGCCATTTTTGGCCCTATATTACTTCAAATGGCACTTAATTTTTCCAATCGGCACAAAATGCCAAAATGGCACTTTTGTAGAAAAAAAATGGCATTTCAATACATTTTTGTGAAATCCTTTACATGTAGCTACTTCTTTTTCTCAACTAAAATTTTATAATTTGTAAAGGCTGGTGTATCTTATTTTATCATTGCACTTTTGTTTTGAAAATGTGAATCTTATTTTATTGCTAAATGGGAATGATTAAAAAGAATGGCACCTTTTTTGGCACTTTCTCATCCTCAATATGGCACCTCATAGATAAGGATAGTTGGCAACCCTATCCAAGTGAGCAATTGTTCAGTGCAGCCGGCCTTATATTCGAGCCACTAAGAAATCGCCTCACGGGAGAAAAGATAGCAAAAATACTTCTTTTTTTTTTAAATATAATATGCCCCTTTTGAACTTTGACTACTAGATTAAAACACTGTATAGGTCAAGCACTCGTTCAATGTTGTAATAATTTACAAAATTTTTAAGTAATAAAAATGATGACTTAAGTTGATAATAGCTTTTTTAATTTTATTCCTAACATTCAAATTCGTACATTCGCATTCGCGAATGTGAAAAATACGACTATCGAAACATCCCTAATACATACATACCCACATTTACTATTCACAAATACATACATATATATATCTACAAGTTAATATGCTTGGCCAGACATTTGTCGAATAGGCCTTACTAAATTGGCGAGCCATGAACGGCATAGCGAAACAGGACGATCAAGAAAACGACCGTCGCGTGCACGTCCAAAGTTGGCTCACACAAAGGTCATTCGCAGGGAAACCCACAAAAGTCAATGTGCTAAAGAAATATGAACATAAACAAGGGGAGAGTAAGCGAAGCTGCTATGCACATACATAGATACATGCCTTATTAAAGGAATGTAGTGGTAGATACATAATTAAAAACATGCGAATATTTCTCAGCCTGAGAAGAAAACTTCTTGACTTCTTTTGCCTAGTACGTTCTTCATAATAAATTTTAAATTTGACTTTTTAACCGACTTCAAAAAAGGAGAAGGTTATTATAAGACTATTTTAAGGAAGGGACTTCGATGGCCGTAAATAAAACTTCGCTGAAGGAAAATAAAAAGACCTATTACTAAAGATGTAAAATATTATGAAATATGAAAAAAACGAAAGGCCTTCTTATTTGAAGACTTACTACCGAATTCACGAAAGCAATTTAAGTTAACCCTGGAAGTGCTTCGCTCTTTTGACCCTGTCTGCGGGCTTGTTAGTCGAAACGACTAACACCAACTTTGAATTGAAATAACAAACATAAAAGAGTTAAAAACGAAAATACATTTTATGAATTTTAGTTCTTTATAGTTTTTCAAACACGTAAACAAAATATTAAATACATATTATTTTCTCTGTTACATATAATAAACAAAATGGTAAAAGACTTCAGAGACAGGTACGAAGCGAAACACGATTTTTGTTAGTCGAATCGACTAACGAAGCACGTCCAGGGTTAAAAATTAATTTTTTCTGTCAGTTTCCATATTAAATTCAATTACAAATATTATCACTTAAATTTGTTTCGTGAAACTCGCTATTACAACACGACACGACAGCGGCACAATCCTGATTCAGGATCTCAGTTGAAGGAAAACAATACGCGGAAAACAATTTCGGTAAAATAAGTACTTTTCTTTTTATAATATCAACTTAAACAAGCCGGAACTTTCAATTGAGATTACTTAAAAGAAACTTAAATATAACCGTCATTGAAGAAATTGCAAATAAATTTTCTTTTTAAATTTTCACCTTGCAAGTTTTGCTTGTTAGCAGCCGAAATGAAAAAATTATCTTCGAGCAAAATCGTTGTCCATTTCGTTTGCGTTATTTCCCAACTTAGTTTTAGCTTAAATAGATTAATTTCGTTCCGCGTGGGTATGATTCCCACCTTTCTG